TCAGCCTGAGCCAGGTGCAGCGGCTCACGCCCATCAGTCATCCCGGTGACTCAGGAGGCTGAGGCAGCAGGATTGCCAGTTCGAAGCCAACCTCAGACACTTAGGCCTTGAGCAACTTAACAAGACCCTGTTGCAAAATAAAATAAATAAATAAATAAATAAACAAATTGGCTGGGGATGTGTCTCTGTGGTAGAGTACCCCTGGGTATAATAGAAAATACTCCAAAAACAAAAAAAAAAGAAGCCATCCTGATATGGCAGGGTGATTATGACTCACAATAAAACATTGTATGTTTCAAAACAGAAGATTTTCACCACTCGCCATAAGAGCACTGATTTCATTGAGGTTGAAATGTTTACCCTGTCATGTGTTACCATGGTCAAGTTCACCCCCTTAGCAAATAAAACCTACCGGGAAATTAGAAATTGTGGCTTTGCTTTTCTTTCCTGTGGGGAGACTTCCTCCTGCATTGGGTGCTAATAGTTGGCCGGTTGCACAAGCCCTGGCCTGTCTTTTCTGTGTACCAGGTAATAAATGGCCTCAATCAGCAAAATCAACCTTTGGTCCTTTCGAAGCCTGCATGACTGCGGTGTTCTAGCCGAGGCCTGGGGGGGAGATGGGACAAAGAGTCTGAAGAAAAAAATGTCCTGTCTTTGTCCCATCTCCTACCCCAGCCTAAACTGGATCACTGTGGTCATGCAGACCATGAAGTGACCAAAGATTGATTTTGCTGATTGGGGCCCTTTATCACCCGGGACGTGCCCATCTGAAGCCTTCTTTATGAGCACTCCGTGATCTTCTGCCATCCGAACCTCCTGGACCTGACGTCTCCTGGTGGCTTTGGGCTGTTTCCAGGTTGTCTGTCTTCCATGCCAGGCTGGCCTGATGACCCTTAGTGACTCCCATTCCCGTGCTCTGTGAGATGACTCTGGTGATACGGAGGCTGCTGGCGGCTGGCCTGGGCCTGGGTTGTGCTGTGAGAACTCGGATGCAGCACGGAGCCAGGTGAATGTGACCTTGAATGTGGCCTCATTCAGGCTCAAGGGTGATTTGCCCCTCAAGATTCCTGGACTATCCAGTGGCAAACACCGGATGGCTAAAATGACCCGTTCGGGGCTGGGGATGTGGCTCAAGCGGTAGCGCGCTCGCCTGGCATGCGTGCGGCCCGGGTTCGATCCTCAGCACCACATACCAACAAAGATGTTGTGTCCGCCAAGAACTAAAAAATAAATATTAAAAATTCTCTCTCTCTCTCTCTCTCTCTCCCCTCTCTCACTCTCTCTTTAAAAATAAAAAAATAAAAAAAAAAAATAAAATGACCCGTTCAAACCAGGGAGCCTTGCAGAGTCAGGAGTTCTCGGGGACAGTCCAGGGAAGGCATGTCATTGCTGGGGGGAGTGACTGAAAGCTATTGAGCCAGCAGAGCGAGTGACCCTACTCGGCATAGGGGGCTCACTGGCCCTACTGAGAAGGTGCTGGAGAAGCAAGAACTAACACACGGTCCCCTCTCCAAGCTTTTCCCAAGGCGCCAAGGAAGGGTGGACTAGTTATCTGCTCCTCTAGAGTGAATAGGAAGCCAGGAGGGGGGGTCCCAGAGGGTCATCCATGTCCTTTGACCATCAGTCGGAGCCTATTTTCTTGTCATTTCTCTCACAACCCTTTCCTGTGGACTTAGTTTCTGTTTGTTTAGGAATTGGTCCCAGTGTAGGCCACAACGGTTAGAGTGGCATTCACCCTTCAGGCCTGGCCTGGCCTGTGACAGAGCCTGTAGGCCACCTGCTCCTGTGGGTGGCCACAGATCAGAGATGTGAACCCGTGGGCAGGAGCTAGAGGTCCCCTGTCTCCCCATGTATGACCGTCATCGACCTACCTACCTATCATCCATGCTCTGTGCGTGTGTTCTACGAATGTATATACACATAGAACATGTTATAGATGTAGACTTAGGTGTATTTACATATTTGAGCAAATATACACATTCTCTCTGGGTGTGGGAATTGTAGTTGTCCCTCAGTATCTATGGGGATTGGTTCCAGGACCCCACACAGATATCAAAATTCTTGGTGCTCACATCTCTGATGGAAAATGGCTTAGTATTTAAATATGCCTCACATAATCCTGCTGTGTAGTTTAAGTCACCTCTAGATTAGTTAGAATACCTAATACAACGTCAGAGCTATGTGAACAGCTGTGATATTGTGTTGTGAAGGAACGAGGGAGTGGCCGCCTCGTTCCTTCCCCAGATGCTCCCTGTTCTGCCTTGCATCACGGTGTATCGGTTCATTTGCTCTTGAACTTGGGTAATGTCGGACCTTACGGCTCTTTTGTGTCCAGCTGTCTTTCCCTCACCCTTAAATCTGTGAGACTCACCTGTGCCATTGTATTCTGCTTGGAGCAGAAGTGCCATCTCTGTTCCTTTTTTACTTTTTGGAGGTGCTGGGGATGGAACTCAGAGCCTCACTCATGCCGGGTAAGCCTGCTACCACGGAGCTACATCTGCAGCCCAGAAGTTCAGAGTTTGTTATTGCTGTAGAGTATTTCGTGGTATGAATGTGGCAAAATTCATTGACTTATTCTGCTGTTGGATGACATTTGTGTGTTTTTCAAATGGTTGGCTTTTATGAAAAAAAGTTTCTGTGAACATCCTTGTCATCTTTTGATAGATATACTCATTTCTCTTGAGCTGGTATACCTGTATCTGTTTTTAATTTCTTGGCATCACTTAGCTTTTTTTTTTTTTTTAAATTAGTTCCAATCACTTATGCATGACGATAGAATGCTCTTTGATTCATTGTACACAAATGGAGCAGAATTTTTCACTCCTCTGGTTGTACATGAAGCAGTCACACCATTAGAGCAATCATACATGTAACTAGGGTAATGATGTCCACCTGATTCCACCATCTTTCCAACCTCCCTGCCCCCTCCCCACTCCCCTTTGCCCCATCCAGAATCATTTAGCTTTGTTAGATGTCATATGTGTTGGCACACCGCGGGAGTTATAGGAACTGGGCTACATTTGGGATACATACGAAGGAATGGGTTCAATTTCTATGTTATGAGAAATAATTTTCAATTATTTCAGTATAGCATTTAGTCTTCACAGCACTGCAGTTTGTACAGATGTTCCTGCTTGCAAAGCTCATTCATTAGTCAGAATTCTCTTTCATTCTCAAATCACAGAGAACCCAGCTCTGCTTAGGAAAAAAAAAAAATGTAAGGGTTCAGGTATCCACTGGGCATCTGCCTTCAGGCATAGCGAGATCCAGATGCTTTCACAGTTCATCAGCACTGATCATTCATCCTGTCTATCTCTTGGCTCTGTTCTCTCCTCGTTGGCAATCTTAGGAAAACCTTCTCCAGTGGTAACCACTGGCAGCTCCAGACTAAAACTTCCTAACTCCAAGCCCCAGGGAAAGACAGAGCCGCTCTCTTTCCTACAGTTCTGACATATCTCCCAGATCCGAAGCTCACTGGCTCTGACTGGGTTATGTGCTTTGACCCCATCGCACTGGCTAGGAAGAAAATCATTCAGATGAGGTCCTGGCCCGCAGGGACTGGGGGTGAGGTACTCAACGAAACGTGTTACCCCCAAAGGGAACAATGGATACTGGGCAGAAACAAAATGTAGAAGAACAGACTTCAGCTAAGCCAAGACTTGTGGGAACAAGTTGGCAAACTAATACTGAAACCACAGGGGACCGCAGAAAGTTAATATTGTCTTTGGCTTTGATAAGGTTGAGGCCTTTGTCATTTACATAGAGATAAACTTGTAAAGTTGGCAGAGCTTCAAGAATGTTCTACTTCCTTCTTCCAAAGCATCACCATATTCTAATCATGCGGACTTGAAACTGGAGAGATGTTTGTCTTTTTTTTTTTCTATTTCCTTTAGTTTGTATTCCTCCCATATTGGGTTAGTCAACAAATCCCCTACTGACTCTTCATTTAAATTTTCTCCCCTGTGTATTTTCTTCTCTGTTCCCACTGACAACCACACCAGGTGCTGCAGGCTGATGTCCTGTCTGTCTCAAAATTAGACCATCCCTCTCCCAGTCTGGTCCTCGTCCTGAAGGGCTGATGAGTCAAATCCTGTGGCCAAGGGGTTGATGGACACTGATTGGCCAGGCCTGGGTCATGTGACCTCCCTGGAGTTGGTCAGGGGTGCCATCAACCCTTCCTGTTCCACTTGGACCAAGGGTGGGAGATGGCTTGAGGAAAATCGGGGCATTGATTGGAAAAGAAGGGGAAGAAGGTAAACATGTAGGAAAATACAAATGTTCTAGCAGTTAACCTCATCACTTCTGACTGGGAAGTATGCTGTGTCTGCAGATGAGAGCTCATGGGACTCACCAATCATATTTGCAAGCCGCAAGAGGTCACAGCAATTGTCACCACACTGTCTTTATCCCTAGAAACAGGATTGCAAGCAAAATGCCTCAAAAGTTCTGGTTCCTTCTAATCCTTGATTCATTGCTCCCTTTGCCCCAACCGAGGGCTTGATGCATGGTTTAAAAGATCATTCCCATTGCATGTGTCCAATACACACAGAAACAGTAGTTGAAACAAGATATAAAAGTTCATTCTCTCTCTTACAAGAGTCTGGGCTGATATGAAGGCTCTGACCCAGGAAGTCACAGGTGACCCAGGCTCTCTCCACACATGGTGCTGCTGTCCCTGCAGCAGATGCTGCCTTGGTGTGCATGCCCCATTTTGGTGCAATCTCCACATCCAATCCACAGGAAGTAAGGAGGCCTAGACAGGGAGGGATGACGCTTCCCTTTAACAGTACAATCTGGAAGTTGCATAAATTGCATCCACTCACATCCCATTGACCTCTGTCATGGCCACAGCTGGTGCAAAGGAGCCTGGGAAACATGGTCTTTGCTCTAGGCAGCTGTGCACCCAGCTGTGTGAGAAGAGATAACTGGAAGATAACCAACAATCTTTGCAAAGAAGAAAGGGGGGGAAAATCCTAATTTTTTCCTTTTTTTTTTTTCAGGTTTATAAAAGATCCCTAAAGGGACTACAAACACAGGAACGTTCTAACACTGTGGGGTAAAGAGTCTGTGCCATCATGTCAGCCTACTACAGGAATAACAGCCTCAACGGTGACACAGAGCATCAGGACTCTTCAAGATCTCAGGGCCGTACTCGAAGGCATTTAAAAACTCAGGATTATCCAGACTTCTCAGGTCCTTGGGATAATCCAGGCTATCCCAGCACCAGGAATAATCCATTCTCTACAGGCTCCAGAACAAATCCAGACTATCCTATGTCTCTAGCAGAACCAGATTATCCTGGATCTCCAAGTAAACCAGATTATCCTGGTGCCAGGAACAATCCCTATTCTGAAGATTCCAGAACAAGTCCAGACTATCACGGATCTCTGCCAGAGCCAGATTATATTGAATCTCAGAGCCATCCATACCATCCAGGCTCACCCAGAGAACCAGATTACCCTGGATCTCAAAGAAATCCTGAATTTGCAAGTTCCAGAAGTAGTGGAAACTACCCGGGTTCCAGGATAAACCCAAGTTATTTGGGATCCCTGGAAAATCCTGACTACCCGGGAGCACAGGACAACTCTAACCATTCTGGCCCCAGAGCCAATTCCAACCATCCAGGCTCAAGAAGGAATCAAGAACCTGCTGGTTCCAGAATCAATTCATATATAGACGACCCAGGAGAGCCTGATTATCCAGGTGCTGAGAATCAAACTAACTTTCCACACATTTGGGGGGAACCAGACTATCCCAGTGCTGAGGATTATCGGAATTCTCCAAACATTTTTGGGGAACCTGATTACCCAGGAGCCGAGAGTGTTCATGATTATGGCCCTTCTGAGACCCAGGAAATGACCAGGAGGTAAGTTCAAATATATCTCTTCATTGGTGGGACTGACTGCTAGATCAACAAGTCAATGGAGTTCCATTGATGTGGCTTTGGTTAAGGATGGGTATTTGATTAAGGTTTCTATGGCCTGAAGTTGTGAAACTGTCAGACCTACCTGTCCATATCACCTGGGCCATCAGCTGTCGGTCTGCGGCTCAAAGTCCTTACCTGAACTTAATCTTTGATCATCTCTTGCCTGGATCACCTCCTTACTCTCTATCTCTTCCTTTTCCCTGCAAGTCATTTAGTCATTTACCTCCATAGTTGGTTTTTTTTTTTTTTTTCTTCTTGGTACCAGGGATTGAACCCAGGGGTGCTTAACTCCTTAGTCACATCCCCAGCCCTTTAAAAAATATTTTATTTAGAGACAGGGTCTCACTAAGTTGCTTATGACTTTGCTAAGTTGCTTAGGGCCTCACTAAATTGCTGAGGTTGGCTTTGAATTTGGGATTCTCCTGTTCAGCCTCCATAATTGCTGGGATTATAGGCATGTGCCACGGCACCTGGTTGTTGTTTGGTTTTGAGACAGTGTCTTGCTAAATTGCCCTGGCTGGCCTCCAATTTGCACTCCTTCCACCTCAGTCACCCAAGTACCTGGGATGACAGGTGTGTGCCACCACACCCAAATCTCTTTCAGGTCATTTAAAAACACCAAATCTAATTTTGCCTGGTTTAGATGCTGTAGATCTAAATTTTCTTTAAAGGATTTTGAACTCCTCTCAACTTTTGATTGTTGGCAAATTTTTCCAGATGCAGTTCTGTCACTGATAACATTTATTCGAGTGATTTGGTTCTGCCAAATTGAATTCTCCCTGAATGAAATTTTTTGATGTTCATTTTAACAACAGTGAACATCAAGCAAGAAACTTTAGTTAGTTTTTTTTAAAAAAATATTTATTTATTTTTTTAGTTTTCTTCGGCAGACACAACATCTTTGTTGGTATGTGGTGCTGAGGATCGAACCCGGGCCGCACACACGCCTGACGAGCGCGCTACCGCTTGAGCCACATCCCCAGCCCTAGTCAGTTTAAAAAAAAAAAAAAATCTATAACAAATTTTATCCTCTGAAAATTTGTTTTATTTTTATTTATTTATTGTCATGCAGGGGAGGGAACTCAGGACCTTGCACATGCTGGGCCAGTGCTCTGCCCCTGAGCTGCCCCCTCAGACCCCATATGAAATTTTAACTGATACTGTTTTTACCAGTGATATTTATGAAGTCACTAAATGCAGTGGTTTACGTCTGTCTCTAGGATTTGGGTGTGCAGAGTCAAACGCCTTTAGCAGGATTAGCTTGCCCAGGTCAAAATGTCCCCCTTAGTCTTCTTCCCGGCTGCCTGAGTCATCATTCTAAGATACACCTTTGATTCAGTCACTCCTCTGCTTTGCATAGTCCATGGGTCCCCATAGCCTGGGGAACAAAGGCCACACTTCTTATCTACTGAACCGCATGAAGGAGGATACACTGTGCTAACAGAGGACTCTAGCCCTGGGCCAGCCTGATCACTCATCTATTTCTCCTGTCCTTTTCCTGTCTGAATCCTACACTCCCTGGGCTGGGTATGTGGCTCAAGGGTAGCGCGCTCGCCTGGCATGCGTGCGGCCCGTGTTCGATCTTCAGCACCACATAGCAACAAAGATGTTGTGTCCGCCGAAAACTAAAAAATAAATATTGAAAAAAAAAATCCTACACTCCAGGTCCCTGGCTCTTGACCTTGACTGATCCTTAGAATTATTATATCACCCGGGGAACTTTAAACGTAATACAGATGCCCTAGCCCAACCTTCAGAGCTTCTGATTCAGTTGTCTGGGATGGGGCTTGGGAAATGGTATAAAATCAACAATCTTTGCCACAGGTTAATTGATTTTTATAGCCTTCCCTTTATGTATTCAACAGTTTCTGGCCTCATGCCTTTATTTATGCTGTTTTTCATACTTGCAATGCCCTCCCCTGTGTGAGCTATGAATTTATCTTTCCAGTCTCCTCTCAGATGTCTCTTTTCCATGAAGATTTCCCTCTCAAACTCCCAGCCAGAATTCTGAACTCCTTGGACCTGTCTCCTGATACTCACTAATTTCTGCTTGCATTATAATTACCCACTGCTGTCTCTAAGAAGCTGTGCCAGGTTGTGTTGGGAGTCTCTTGGGGGCAAATACCCCCCGTCTTTCTCTTGGTGCCCTCACTGCCCAGCCCATGCCTCACATGTTATTGGCTTTCAGTCAGCATTTGTGGGATGGATGGATGGTGGGTGGGTGGATGGGTGGATGGATGGATGGATGGATGGATGGGTGGATGGGTGGATGGGTGGATGGATGAATGGATGGATGGGTGGATTAGTGGATAAATGAATGGGTGGATGGATGGATAGATGAATAGATGAGTGGATGGATGGATGAGTGGATGGATGGATGAGTGTATGAATGGGTGGATGGATAGATGGATAAGTGGGTAAATGGATGAACAGATGAATGAGTAGATGAATAGATGAGTGGTATATGGATTGATAGGTAGATGAGTGAATGGGTGGGTGGATGGATGGATGGACGGACAAGTGGACAGCTGTCCTCACCACACTACTGGATGGATGGTGACCCATATTTTGAGATTTTTACAGTGCTCAGTAAAACATCTTCAACCGTGCCCTCGTTCCATTGCAGGAGCAATGCCTCCTTGGGCGTCCTTAGGAGAGAGAGTGAAGATTACCCTGAAAGTTTTGAAATGTCGTCCATGGAGATGGCAGATTCACGCGACCCATCTCTGCCAGGTGCTCCTGGAAAGGGCTATGGTAAGCGCATCTTAACAGGAGGATCGCACTCTGGGAAGGAAATAAAATCCAGTGGGCTCAGGAGGCTACCATTAAGCAGTCATAGCAATAGAAGAGTTGGCTCATCCCTCCCGCCTCAAACACTCTCCTTAGATGCAAGAGTTGGGAACTCTGTCCAGGGAAGCCACTTGTCACCAATTACCAAAGTAGGCCAGGGAAGGCGTGTGAAAAATGGGAGCCTGTTCACCCTGTGCCTACCCAAGGTGCTGAAATTCACTCTGGCCCGTGGTGGTTATGCAGGGAACAGGCTCAGCATGAAGAGATCCTGAGAGTTTTCAAAGAAAATAGGAAAAAAAAAAAAAAACCTATGTAAAAAAATACTATGATTGTCCATTTTCTGTTGCTCTAGTAAAATACCTGATGCTGGGACCTTTATTTTTTTAAAGAGGTTTATTTATCTTTTACTTATTTATTTGTTTATTTTTGCAGTCCTAGGAATTTAACCCAAGGATGCTCTACCACTGGGCTACACCCCCAGCCCTTATGGATTCCTTTACTTATTTTTATTTTGAGGCAGGGTCTCACTCTGTTGTCCAGGCTGGCTTTGAATTGACAATCCTCTGGCCTCGGTCTCCCAAGTTGCTGGGATTACAGGCGTGCACCACCATGCCTGGCCTAAAAAAAGAGGTTTATTTAGCTTATAGTTTGGGAGGCTGGCAAATCCACATTCTTACCTTCCAGGTGGGAAAAGGAACTGTTTGCTTCTTTGGAGAAACTAGTTCATGATAAAAGAGGAAAAACCCAGGCAGTGTTATGGGAATCTAGAGCCTGTGGGGGCCAGAAGGGGAGGGGGGTTTGACCTAGATCCGCTGGGAGGTGCAGAGGGAGGCCAGACCAGCCTCGAGGGGGGCGGAAAGCCTTTGAGGAGGCAGAGAGGAGGGTCAGGATATACCTCCATGGACACATGCTGCTGGCCCACGATGGGGTCACGCCCTGAGAAACCCTCATGAATGCATGAGGCTGCATACACCTGACCTAGGGAACACTCAGCCTAGAGACACAGCATACAGTATAGGCTGTGCCCCCTGTGATCGAAGGGGCTGATGGGAGCTGCCAACTGCTGCCGCTGCCCAGCATCTGGAATCCCACATCTTATTCTAGCCCGGAAAGTTTCACTATTCTCCTCTCCTCCTCCTCTCCCTCCTCCTCCTCCTCCTCCTCCTCCTCCT